AGGCCCTGCTGCTGCTGCTGCTGCTGCTGCTGCTGCTGCTCCCGTTTTCCCGTCGACTTCGGAGGAGGGCGGGGAGTGCGCGGGCAGCAGCGCGTCCCCCGCGGCGCCCGCAGCGACTCCCGCAGCAGCAGCAGCAGCAGCAGCAGCAGCAGCAGCAGCAGCAGCAGCAGAGCCTGCGCGGGCCCCCGGCGAGCCGCTGGAAAGCCTGGCAGCGTGGTACCGGCGGCGGTACGGGAGCGGGGGCGGGCTGGCGCTGCCAGCAGCAGCAGCAGCAGCAGCAGCAGCAGCAAGGGACTACCGGTCCGTTTTTGCTGCTTTGAAGAAATTCGAAGTTTTTGCTGCTGAAAGGAGACACAGCAGCAGAGAGGCTTTTGCTGAAGACCAGCGCTTTGTCCTTTCCGACGTGCTGCGCTCCTTCTCTCCTTTCCAAGTCCTCGCCAGGGCCCCCCGCGGCCGCGCAGCAGCAGCAGCAGCAGCAGCAGCAGCAGCAGCAGCAGCAGCAGCGGCAGCAGCGGCGGAGGGGGGCCCCGAGCGACGCTCTGCAGACGCCAAAGAGGGGACCCCCAAGGGGCACGAGGCGGGGGGGCCCCCGGGGGGGGGGCCCCTGCAGGCGGGCCTCCCAGGGGGGCCCCCAGGGGGGCCCCCAGGGGGGCCCCCAGGGGGGCCCCCAGGGGGGGCCCCCCTGAAGGGGGAGGATGCAGGGGGGCCCCCCAGGGGGGCCCCCCCGGCTGAAGGCCCCAAAGAGGGCACAATGAGTCAAGAGGTGAAGGGGGAGACAATTGCGGAAGTTGGGGCGGAAGCAGCAGCAGCAGCAGCTGAGGGAAGTGCAGCAGCAGCAGCAGCAGCTGCTGCTGCTGCTGCTGCTGAGGGGGGAGCGACTCCTGCTGCTGCAGCTGCTGCGGCAGCTGGCGCTGACGCGAACGGGCCTGCTGCTGCTGCTGACGGGGACGCAGCGCCTGCGCAGGCTGCTGCTGCAGCACCGGACCCAGCAGCAGCAGCAGCAGCAGGAGCAGCAGCAGCAGCAGCAGCAGCAGCAGAAGCAGCAGCAGGAGCAGCGGAAGCTGTAAAGGCAATGCCGAAGTCCGAAGAGAAGGCGGGGGTCCCTGGGGAGCTGCCCGCCCCTGCTGCTGCTGCTGCTGCTGCGGGCGCGCCCGCCCCTGCTGCTGCAGCAGCAGCAGCAGCAGCAGCAGCAGCAGCAGCAGCAGCAGCGCGGCCGCGCAAACGGCGGCGGAAGCAGCAAACTGAAGGGTTTGTTGCTGTTGAAGAAGTGGTGAAGTCTTTGCTGCCTTTTCATTCTTTTTACATTTCCGACTTGCAGGCAGTTGCCCCAGAACCAGAAGGTGCTTTTACAACTTTTTATTTTATTTTTATTTATTTTTATTTATTTTTTATTTATTTTTATTTCTTTTTATTTCTTTTTGTTTTCTTTTGTTTTTGTTTCTTTTTTGCTTCTTTTTTAGTTCCTTTTTGTCCCTTTTTAGTTTCTTTTTTGTTTCTTTTTTCCTTCTTTTTTGCGTTTTTTTAATCCTTTTTTTAATCTCTTTTTTCGCTTTTTTGCTTCTTTTTTGTCTCCTTTTTGTTTCTTTTTTGTTTCTTTTTTATTTCTTTTTTTTCTCCTTTTTATTTTTCTTTTTTGTTTAATTTTTGTCTCCCTTTGCCTTTTTGTTTTTTGTCTTTTCTTTATTTCTTTCATTTCTTTTTTGTCTTTTTGTTTTTTCTCTTTTTACCTCCTTTTGGTCAAGTTGCTGCTGCAGATGTTTCCGAATTTGTTGCTGCTGCTGCCTCTCCAGAAGATGCTTTACGAAAGTCTTTGCTGCTGCTGCTGCTGCTGCTGCTGCTGCTGCTGCTGCTGTTGCTGCTGCTGCTGCAGGAGAGGAGGAGAGACAGCTGCGGCAGCAACGGGTGCATGCGCTCTCTGCTGCAGCGCGGCAGGTGTCCCTCGCAGCAGCAGACCCTTTAGCAGCAGCAGCAGCAGCAGCAGCAGCAGCAGCAGCAGCACCTGGGGGAGCCTCAAAAGGAGACTCTGCAATTTGGGTGAGCAGCAAAAACAGCTCTTTTAACTTCAGCATTTGTTTTTGTTTTTAATGAAATGCTTTTTCTTTTAATTGCAAAATGCATGCATTTGTTTGCACGAATGACGTATATTTATTTGCGCATGCATGCATGCATGCATGCATGCATGCATGCATGCGCAAATAGCGTGCATGCATGCATACATGCATGCGCAAATAGCATGCATGCATGCATGCATGCACGCGAAAATAGTGTGCATGCATGCATGCATGCATGCATGCATTTGCATGCACATATTTGTATGAAATACATTTTTAATAATGTTTGAAATATGTATTCATTTTTTTAAAATGGAGAAAATGCATATTTGTGGATGTAATAGAATTTATTTATTTATTTATTTCAAATAACAAAGATGTTAAATATATTTTATTATAAACATAAATGCAAATTCAAATTAATTCCCCACAGTCTGCATGCAAAGCCTGCGAAAGCCCCGCAGCAGCGCATGCAAATTTGCATGCAAGTTTGCATGCAAGTTTGCATGCAAATTTGCATGCAAGTTTGCATGCAGGCTGAATAGTCTCCTTTTTGGCTGCTTTTTAGCCGCTTTTTGGCTCCTTTGAATCCCCTTTTTTGTGTCTTTTAAATCTCCTTTAAATCTTCTTTTTAATCTCCTTTAAATCATCTTTTTAGTCCCTTTAAATGTCTTTTTTTCTTTTTTTTTTCTTTTTTTTTCTTTTTTTCAGGACTACTTTTGCTGCCGCAGCTGCGCAGACGCAATCGCCCTGGCCTCGCGGGCTGCGCGGGCGGAGGCCCAGCCTGTGGGGCCGCGGGCTTCGCTGCTGCCGGTGGGAGCAGCAGCTCCTGCTGCTGCTGCTGCTGCTGCTGCAGCAGCAACAGCAGCAGCAGCAGCAGCAGCAGGCGGCCTGCCCCCAGCAGGGCTTTCCGCGGGGGCCGGAGCCCCCCTAAACGCAGCCCCAGCTGCGGGGGCCCCAGGGGGGGCCCCAGCAGCAGCAGCAGCAGCAGCAGCAGCAGCAGCAGCAGCAGCACAGTCCTCCCCTACTTCCCGCGTCTCTTCTGTAGAGCTCTTCGGCTCCAGCGATGAAGAAAACATGTCAGCAATCAGCAGCAGCGTGGTGGGGGGCCCCCTGGGGGCCCCCCTGGGGGCCCCCATGGGGGCCCCCCACCTGGCCCCTGGGGCGCTGCAGCAGCCAGGGGGCCCCCTGGGGGGCCCCCCACAGCCCAAACACTTGGCCCCGGGGGCCCCACACCTTCCAAGACCTGCAGCGCCGCAGGGGGGCCCCCCCTACCCTCCAAACCCAGCAGCAGCAGCAGCAGCAGCAGCAGCACAGGGGGCTGTGGGGGCCCTTCCCGGGGCCTGGGGCCCCAGGCAGGGCCCCCACGGGGGCCCCCAGATGGGCCACCTGGGGCCCCCGACGGGGGCCCCCCTGGGGCCCCCTCACCCGCCCATCCGCCGCTAGCCCGAGACATGTCAATAGTTTAGGGGGCCCCCTGGGACTGCGAGCTGCTGGGGGCCCCCCGGGGCCCCCAGGGGCTCTCAGGGGCCTCCAGGGGCTCTCAGGGGTCCCCAGGCCTTCAGAGGGGCCCCCAGTGTCCCCAGGGGCCCTCAGGGGCCCCCCAGGGGCCCTCAGGGGCCCCCGGGGGCCCCCAGGCGGCCAAAGGGTACTTGGCAGTAAACGTATCCTTGGCCATAAAGGGGCCCACGGGGGCCTTGCGGGGGCCCCCGAGGGGCCCCAGGGGCCCCCTGGGGGCCCCCCTGGGGGCCCCTTGGGGGCCCCCAAGGGGGCCCCTTGGGGGCCCCGCGTTGTGCATAGGGGGGCCCCCTGGGGGCCCCTACTGTGGGGTGTCTCTACACCTGCAGCGCGGGCTGCGAAGTATTTGTCTGCTGTTAATGTGTCTCCTTTCTTTACTAAAGTGTTTTAAGTGAATTGCTGCAGCAGCAGCAGCGCTGCAGGGGCTAGGCTGCTGCTGCAGCGCGAGCGCTTTAGGGGTTACGCTGCTGCTGCTGCTGCTGCTGCTGCTGCTGCTGCTGCTGCAGTGGGCCGAAGCCAGGATTGGCGCCTTACGAGGTGTAGTGACACTGGTGGATTTGCATGCACATATTTCTTTGAAATTCCGCTCTGCTGCTGCTGCTGCTGCTGTGGCGGTGGCTGCTGCTGCTGCTGCTGCTGCTGCAGCTGCAGCAAGAACACCTTCAGAGGCCCGCGCGGCTGCGGGAGGACGCTGGGCAGTCAGTGAGCTGCCGCAGCAGCAGTGCAGCAGTTGATGCAGCAGCAGCAGCAGGTTGTCCAGCGGCAGCAGCAGCAGCTGTTGGTAGTGCAGCAGCAGCAGCAGCGGCTGGTGATGCTCCAGCAGTAGCAGCAGCAGTAGCAGTTGGTAGTGCAGCAGCAGCAACAGTTGGTAGTGCAGCGGCAGCAGTTGGCAGAGTAGCAGCAGCAGCAGTTGGCAGTGCAGCAGCAGCAGCAGCAGCAGCAGCAGCAGCAGCAGACGGCGCAACTCCCGCATATATATAAATAAGAGGCGATCTCGCCCACACTGGCCCTCCAAGAAGTGCTTGGGGCCCCCCTGGGGCCCCCTTTGGGGCCCCCGGGGGCCCCCCAGGGCCCCCGGGGGCCCCCTAGGACTTCAAAGGGCCCTTGGGGGGCCCCCCGGGGGCCCCTGGGGCCCCCTGGGGCCCCCGGGGGCCCCTCGAGCCTGGGGATTAGTACGGGAGTTGGGGTGTACGTACAGCTGGCTGGGGTTGTCCTCGCCTCCGGTTTGAAAGTAAATTTAATTAAATTTTTAATTTTTATTTATTAAAAAAGAAAAAAGTCATAATTGAAAGCCGCAGCTAACGCGCTGCTGCTGCTGCTGCACTTCGGGGGGCCCCCGCCTGCCTTGCTGCAGCAGCAGCAGCAGAACTGGGGGCCCCCGGGGGCCCCCCGGAGAGCAGCAGAAAAGGTCTTTAAGAAAATACCCGGGACTTTGGGCTTACTGCAGCTGCCTTTTTAGATTCATTTTTGGGTCCCAGCAGCAGCAGCAGCAGCAGCAGCAGCAGCACTAGCTGCAGCTGCAGCAGCAGCAGCAAACCGGTGTGAGCACACAGAGCCAGCAGCTGCTGCAGCAAGAGCTGTTGGCGCTGCTGCTGAGGTGTCCGTACACCTCAATTCCCCTGCTGCCTCTTGCAGACACATTGCGCGTAGGCCCTGCAGCAAAGGCTTCCAGCAGCAGCAGCAGCAGCAACAGCAGCAGCAGCAGCAGCAACAGCAGCAGCAGTTAGAGCAGCAAACTTAATCTGCTGCACTTCCTTAGAATTCTTCGCCTCGCGCATGCACGGAGCCACCCGCGGGGCGCGGGCCAATCTAGCGGACCACTGGTCACCACTACTGCAGCAGCAGCAGCAGCAGCAGCAGCAGCAGCAGCAGCCGGCCACCTGACCCCTCTGATCACTGCTGCTGCTGCTGCTGCATGCAGAAGCTGCCCGCTGTGCAGGGTGCTCGCGGGCCTGGGACGAAGCAGCAGCAGCTGCAGCACCAGCAGCAACAGCCGCAGCAGCAGTAGCAGGGGCCCTAGCAGCAGCAGCAGCAGCAGCAGCAGCAGCAGCAGCAGCAGCAGCAGCAGAGTCATTGTCGGCGCGATGAGTGAGAAGGGCCCCCTGTGCTGGAAGCACGGGGGCCCCGCGGCGTTAGCTGTAGGTCCCTGGGGACTGCAGCAGCAGCTGCAGCAGCTGCTGCTGTAGCTCGCTGAACCAGCAGCAGCAGCAGCAGCAGCAGCTGCTGCTGCTGCTGCTGCTGCTGCTCCTTCCCGGAGGACTGCTGGCAGCAGCAGGGGCCCCCGGGGGCCCCCAGACTCCCAGAAAAATGGAGACAGCTTCTTCAGACGGCGAGCTGGGGGCCCCCCTGAGGGGCCCCTCTGGGGGCCCCCAGGGGGGCCCCCAGAGGGGCCCCTCGGGGGGCCCCCCGGGGGGCCCCCCGGGGGGCCCCCTAGGGGGGCCCCCCAGGGGCCCCCGGGCCTCAGTGGGTCTTGCAATGTTGGGGGAGTTGCTGCTGGTGGTTAAGGACCTTTGTAAGGAGCTGCAGGAGACAGCAGCACCAACTGGGGGCCCGGGCAGCAGCAGCAGCAGCAGCAGCAGCAGCAGCAGCAGCAGGGCCAACGGCGCGCTTTCACGCGTCAGGTGTAAGCAGCTAGCTAGCTGCTAGCTGGCTGTAGCTAGCCAGCTAGCGAACTGCTGGCTAGCTGGCTAGCTGGCTAGCTGGCTAGCTGGCTAGCTGGCTAGCTAATAAAATGCCCAACAGTCTAGCCCTCTAGCTAGCTGGCTGACTAGCTAGTTGGCTGGCTAGCTAGCTAGCCGGCAAGCTAGCTAGTTGGCTAGCTAGGCAGTTGGCTAGCTAGCTGGCCAGCTAGCTAGCTAGCTGGCTAACTGGCCAGCTAGCCAGCTAGCTATCTGGCTAGCTGGCTAGCTAGCTAGCTCGCTGGCTAGCTAGCTAGCTCGCTGGCTAGCTAGCTAGCTAGCTGGCTTGTTGTCTAGCTAGCTGGCAGGGTAGCTAGCCAGTTTGCAGGGTAGCTAGCTAGCTAGCTGGCACTTCAGCTAGCTAGCTGACAGAGAGGCCTGCGACAGAAACCCTGCGAGTCCGTAACTAGCCACACACCTGCTGCTGCTGCTGCTGCTGCTGCTGCTGCTGCTGCTGCTGCTGCTGCTGCTGCTGCTGCTGCTGCTGCTGATTCTGCTGCTGCTGCTGCTGCTGCTGCTGCTGCTGCTGCTGCTGCTGCTGCTGCTGCTGCTGCTGCTGCTGCTTTTGGAGGGGGGCCCCTACATTCTCTGAGTTCCAGCCCCAGCCTCGCCTCCTGCTGGAGTCCCCCATGGGGCCCCTCAAGGGCCCCCTCGAGGGGCCCCTCGAGGGGCCCCTCGGGGGCCCCCCTGGGGGGCCCCCTGGGGGGCCCCCCGACGCAGTGGGCGCTGCTGCAGAAAAGGGTATTGCGCGTTTGCATGCGCTTGTGGTGTCTAGACTGGAGCCGCAAGTGCAGCAAGTGCTGCAGCAGGTGGGTTTTTATTTATTTTATTTATTTTATTTTATTTATTTTATTTTATTTATTTTATTTATTTAATTTAATTTAATTTATTTGTTTTTAAATTTGTTTTTGGCGTTTTGAAATTCAACTTTGCGGCATTTTTGCATGCATGCTGCTGCCCAGGGGAGACGCTAGATGCTTGCAGCAGCAGCAGCAGCAGCAGCAGCAGCAGCAACAGCAGCAGCAGCAGCAGCAGCAGGGGCTCCTGTGGGGCCCCTTGGGAGCTGAGGGTGGTTATGGGTGGGGTTGCTTTAGGGGAAATTTTAAATGCTGCAGATCTTTTTAAAGTTTTGTTTCTTTTGCTGCTTTTTGTTTCTTTTTCTTTGCTGCTGCTGCTGCTGCTGCAGCTGCAGCAGCAGCAAAAGACCGCAGCAGGACTTTCAGAGAGACTCAAGAAGCAGCGCGAAGAGGAACAGAGACAGGTGACCGCCGGGGGAAAGGGTTTAGGGTTTAGGGTTTAGGGTTTAGGGTTTAGGGTTGAGGGTTTAAGGTTAAAAGTTTAGGGTTTAGGGTTTAGGGTTTAGGGTTTAGGGTTTAGGGTTTAGGGTTTAGGGTTTAGGGTTAAAAGTTTAGGGTTTAGGGTTTAGGGTTTGGGGCCCACAGGAGTGGGTTTAGTCGGCTGTCTCTGTCTGCGAAAACGACTGGCAGTGCTTCTTCTTCTTGCTGCTGCTGCTGCTGCTGCTGCTGCTGCTGCTGCTGCTGCAGATGGAGACAGTAGAAGAGCTGCAGCGGGAAGTTGACGCAAAGAAAGCTGAGCTGCAGCAGCAGCGGGCTCTCCGCAAAGAGTTGGAGACACTGCGCGCCGAGAACTGCGTAAACCCTAAACCCTAAACCCTAAACCCTAAACCCTAAACCCTAAACTCTAAACCCTAAACCCTAAACCCTAGGAGGCTCTTCAGGGGCTCTCTTTGCCAGGGTTTTGGGAGACTAAGGGTTTGTGGCTGTCTTTGCTGGGGTTTAGGGTTCAGCAGCTTCGCTGCAGCAAGTCTTTCTGTCTTTGCTGCTGCTGCCTTTGCTGCTGCTGCTGCTGCTGCTGCTGCTGCTGCTGCTGACGTTCTCCTGTTGCTGCGCGTTGGGCTACTGTGCTTGGTGCAACAGCAGCAGCAGCAGCTGCTGCTGCTGCTGCTGCTCTTTATTCTCCGTGGTTGCTGCAACCTTTGCTGCTTCCTCAAGGCTGCTGCTGCGTTTGCCAACACTTGGCCTTCCGTTGCTGCTGCTGCTGCTGCTGCTGCTGCTGCTGCAGTCTCTGCAGGCGGAGTTGCATCGGCTGCAGCAAGAGCTGCAGCAGCAAAAGGCAAAGACAGAAGACTTGCTGCAGTCTCCTCGAGGCAGAGTAGACACCAGCAGCAGCAGCAGCAGCCCGTGGGTCTCAGCAGCAAAACTCCTCAGCCCCACACTCGCAGAGATAGCT